ACATTTCGTTTGTAAAGCGACTATCTGGCTCCAGTTGAATTCCCACCACGTAAGAGTCATATTGTTATTTAAATCAACACTACCACTTTAATCAGACTAGGTTTTATATGGTGAATACGTTATGTACTATAGCATTTAAAAAAAATAAAAAAATTAAAATATAGCATTGATCCCTATCTAATGGTAGAAGTTTAGTTCAATGCCGGTGTGGTTAGGGGATTTCCTATGAATTGGGGGAGAGTGGGGGGGGCAATAAAATACAAGAACATAAAATAATATTTAAAGCAGCAATATCTCTTTTGAATTTTTCATAAATATAGACAGGATTATTTACTATAGAATTATAACAAAAATTCAAAGTGAATTACAAATGTAATGCCAAAGTAGCCAAACTGAAAACATTATCTAAGTCTACGTAACTATGCTACTAGTTTGGCCACCTTGGCTTTATATTTGAAATTCACTGTCAAGTCAGTCACTTTGAGTTCCTGAAAATTCTTACTTTAGCAAAAACTCCTGAGAATCCTTATGGAAATCCAATAAAGTGTGTAGTTTTAAATGTTATTAAAATTAAAAAGCAATCAGAAAAACGGAAATAGATTACAAAATAAAATAGAAATACTTTGTCCTATGGACAGTTGAGGCGCAACCCCCCCCCCCCTACCCCCCCAAAACTATAAGTTGGAAAAACGTGGATATCTGGAACATTTAAATCATGAGACAAGGACACAGGAACATATTAACAAACATAAGGAACTATTGTACAGAGCTATATAAAACAGTTTTATAAGCTTCACCCACATGTTAATTAACAATAAAATACTTTATTTTAAGGACTTTGATAGAATAGTGGTGCAACAATTGTATATTTTTCCATTCCAGTAGAATAATATTAATATTAATGAGTGACCTTTTGTGTTATACATAATCTTTTTTTGTCTCTACACGCAACATACAAACATAGGTCAAAATTTACTAGAAAAGTATGTAAAAGAAAGGTCCTACTGTGGCCAGGCTAATGAAATATCTCCAAGGAGGTACTGAAACAAAGAAATCAAAGAACCAGCTGGTTCAGGATGCCAACAATTAGTTAGATAAGCAAGCCAACTCAGGGAAATGGAGAAGTCAGAAAACTTAAAACATGCCAGCTCGATACCAAATGAGATTGCTAAAACCATGAAAATGCAATGAGACTCCAGTGGTTCCAGGTACCAGGTAAATATAGGGCTAAAGAAACAACAGTGGCAATTTAGCTGTGTCAAAAAGTGTGAGTGTACATGTTCCTATTTGGCATAGGCGAAGTGATGAGGACTAGACTTTTAACAACAATCCATCAGCCGAGGGCAGAGTACCGTGCCCACTGTGTACATTTTTAAATTCCAGGACTAGTAGTGAAGAGAGAGACAGCCACCAGGATCTTGCAACATAAGCAACTTCAATTGATGGTTCAAGTTGCGGTGAATCGGGCTGGAGTAATGCTCCTGTCTTGGTAATGAAACAATAGTACCTTTAAAGACTGTTTAAACATTGTTTAGTTTTTTAAGAAATGCCATATTGATGATAAATGAATATAGTAGACCTTCATCACAATGAATATAATTTAATATGTAGCATGCATTTGAAATCAACTAAAACAGACAGTAAATAAGATGGTGAAAGATATGTTATCAAATTCATTTGCTTGCTGTTTCATAACCCTGTACAATATGGCCAGGTTACTAGCAAGTTAAATCTTACATGTATGTTGCAATATACCATAAGCATAGGTATAGGCTGACACAGAAAGCCTTGAGCGCCTTGCTCCTTAAGCTTACAGTCATGCAGGAGGTGGTGGTTATGAGACTACATGGACGGAAAATAAAGTAGTGAGAGGGATGTTTTATGGGACAGGTATGGATGGCTAAGGGTGAAGCCAGATAATGTATGTGATCATTCTGAAGGATAGTGTGGAAATAACTAAACTGGTAAGATCACCTTGTAAGAAAACAGCAATGTTGGAGATCTTGAATGAGTAGGCCTTGGGCCTCAACACAAGCTGTCAAAATCTTAAGCAAAACATAATAAGGAAAGCGTACGGAGTATGTGATACGCTGTATAAGTCCAGGGGGCCCCAAGCAAATGCTTTGCCCAGGGTCCAGACAATATTAAAGATGGCCCTGCATATACGCACATATACAACGATACAAAGCAATTACAGTAAAAATAACACAAGCAGAATACGGCAGCACATGCACCTCAATTAAAAAAAAATAAGACCGCACGCTACGGGACATCACAATACTATATCGGCACAGTGCTGCTAAAAGGTTGCCTACCCCTGCTATAGAATGAGTTTCAGAAACTAAAAGAAAATTGGCAATAAAAGATCAAAGAACATTAAACAAGTGTGGAAAAGAGGCAACAAGCATACATAAATTTAGTGCAGATATTCTCTTAACAGGAAACGCGAGTCACAGCTGATGAAACTAAAAATTCAGTTCACACAGACCAACATAAATATCGATATACACACAATGATTAGAAGATATAGCTTTAATCGTAGCAGTTGTTCTAAGAATGGTAAAAATGTGTCTTGAATTCACATCTGATTCAACCATATTTCTGTGATTTAAGTGCGATCCTACATCAAAATGAGCTATTAAAAAACGGATTTGACAAGTTCGGCATTGCAGCATTAAAAGGTTTATTTAGATATACAGTGACATCATAGAGAATAAGTCATCTTTTGGCAACAAAATAGAGCTAAAAGTAATACAAAGAAATGAGGGTGAAGAAATGATAGCTAATATTAAACTGACAGTAAAATGATTCATTGTAGATTTCTTAAAATGAGTCTTGCTCTGTTTAGCTGTGCACTGCCGGTTGCAAGAGTAAAAATGGGTAAACATATTTTGCAGTTCACTTATGATTCAGAATGAGAGAAACCAAAATGATTAAAAGCTGGCTGATAGATTCAAATTAGTTATTGGCAAAATGTGATCAAAATAGCTTTTTCTGTACGGTAAACAAGTTAACCTCATACAGGAAGTAAGCTGTGGAGACCAAGAACTATGAACAATTAAAGGGAGCTGGGAAGGTCACACGGTGTTCTACAGAAATCGAAAAGAAAAACAAAACATAAACTTTTTTTTATACCTCTTTATTTTTTCGTTTTAAAATAATTAGCATGCAAGTTTCAGGTTACAATGTTTTTAATCAAGTGTTTTTCTCAACAGATGGATATTGACAAAACGTGGCGCACAAAAAAAAGTGTTGTTGTACGGGGCGTTTTTTTTTCCTTCTCTTTGTTACGTTGCTATTCTCCATCCACAGACTGGCAAGGTTATACAAGGCAGACCTACCCACTCATAATCCTCATGACTCTGATCCACACCCGCAGTGGCTTGTCTACTCTTTCAGAATTAGTAAGGCTCTCTAGAATTGAGTAAGCAGACAACCTGATACAAAAAGTAACCAGATGGAAACAAAAGCAAAAACAACACTTTGAACTTACTATTAATAAACATTAATTATTTAAGTTGTAATATCTTGTAGTGGTTAAGAGCTACTGCAACCAGGGGCCAAAAATGTATACGTCAAGTTATAGGAAAGACGGGGCAAACAGTAAGTCATGTATGAAACTGTATATCTACAACGATATTGGGACAATCCCAGTGTGAAAATAAATTTTATATATATATATTTAAATCACAGACATCTGCTTTGTTTTTGCACCTCTCCAAAGCATGCAAAGAGTTAATTTGGTTTTGTAGAAGTCACACAGTAAAGTGTGTAGTGATTCAGAGCAGGATTTGACGAACAAATAATCATCTAATAGTCGTTAGATAAAAACATTTCCTGAAAATGTATTCACGTCAATTTGTTGTCTTGTAAAAAAAAAAAGAAAAAGAATACAAACAAAAAAAAAAACCCTGCCTTTATAAAAGCACTCTAAAAGATGACGGCATTAGTAAAATAAAAGTAAATGTTTTAACCTGGTACAAATGCCTCGATGTTAAATAATAAATCAGTTATGTAAAGTATAACAAACACTCACACTTGTAAAATAAACAAATCAATATGTCATGCGAATATTTGAAACTGCTAAAATTGCAATACCTTAAAAACAATCTTGTTTTTAATGTAATTATCTTTGTATATTTTTGTATTCAGGTTTGTTTTTTGAGCATGAAGAAATTAGAAAGTTGCACAAAGTCTTGCCTACATACAAACACATATATAAATATATACATATATATACACAAGATGTTTTATCAATAAATCTTTCCATATCAGAGCTAACAAGCACACAGAATTACTTTTCCAGTATAACTCTAAAAATAAGGGTTCTGCCTAATTACCATTTATAAGTCACAGAAATCTATCTTGCAAGCTTTTTTTATGAATCATTTTTGACATGCTACACAACAGCATTTAGCATGTCTACCCAACATTTATTTGAACACCTGATAGCAAATGGGAAGTAGCAGTGCACTAATCAAAAACGATACGGCGCTTACAATTTCACTGCAACGAATCTGCAATAGCAGTACACTAAATACAAACAATATTGCTCATTGGAACAAATGTGCAGAAGCATGGCACAAAAGAAAAAAAGCTTTATTGCTCTTTAAAGTTCACTGCAGAATCAAAACCTGCAATTCATGGTTATGTTTTCAAGTTGACTCCATGTTAAAGCAAATCTTCCACTTTTAAATCGGGTAGGTGCTGCTGTTAAAGTTACTTAAGAAAAGGTTAAACAATTTTCCTACTGAAACTGTGTGGGTTGTGAAAGAACATTTTAATGAAGAAGAATTTCCCCGTTACAGCTATTTTATTATCACCAAAGCCATCACGGTTTCAGTCTGAGTTATTTGTATATATTTATAAGAGCAAAGATAACATAAACTAGCACAAAAACAAAGACCTCATCCTGACTTCGAAGCGCAAACTAAAATAAGAGAGGAATAACTTATTTTTTGAATATACAAAAACTCTTCAAATTTCAAAATGCCACTGTCTGTAAGTTCAAGATTTGACCAACACTACAACGTAACAGGGCAGGAAATCTGACAAACACAGTCCTGTTGCTGATCAAACTATTTCCAGCATTGAAAATCACTCTCTCTGAATATAGCTAATGATTTTAACAGGTAGTGGTCTGCAAATGGTGATACTGAAAAGTCAATTCAGAACCCCAAGGAGTATTATTAAAAGATGACTGAACGGTAAGAATTAAGTATTAAAATATAGGGTTTCCCAACGTGAAAGGTCATTTTGCAACCTTCTAAAATATACATGCAGGGCATATTCACTGTTTAAAAATGAATGTAAAATGTATGAACTTCTGTTCCCTGTGTTTTCATCTGACTGGGGGAGGAATTTTGACGTTGCAGTTACTCTGGTGTGCACTTCCTGGGCAAAAGGCTTTTGTAACCCCAATTAAAAAGAGTGCAGAGAATGTTCTCTAAAGTGCTATAAAACCACATGAAACTGGAAATACCGTCCAATCTATGTATAATAACATATTTACAGATATATTCCTTATACTGTTACCCTTCGTACAACATTCTTTTGCTTTATATTATGCTATAATGCATGCACAAATACATTAACATGCTTTCATGACCGACGTTGTGCCAGGATGGTCATGACATCATGATAATGCCTAATCCTCGTCACAAAGGGGTTAATGAAAGCCATAATATTATTTTTTTCACCAGATATTTTCAATACAGGGAGCAACGCAAGTACAGATGATATATGACTTTGTGTTAAAACATCTTATAATCACATTTTTAAATAACCCCCATTTTGACTAAAATTTAATTGTTTGTGTTTGTGTTTGCATTAGGTAAGTGGATATATAAGCTCAACATTACACAAAACACATTCATGCAGTTTAATATTGTAATCTTTTCGACGAATCATCTTCTACTAAATTGCTTAACCCCTTAAGGACCAAACTTCTGGAATAAAAGGGAATCATGACACGTCACACATGTCATGTGTCCTTAAGGGGTTAAATCTAACCGGCATCACAGAGTTACCCACTTATCTTATACATAAATCAATGTAATTATTGTATAATTCGTAGTAAATCAATGTGTAATCACATATTGAAACTGCTTCAACTTCTGATTCCACAAAAGATCAGTTATCAGCTTGATATTTAACAACTTACTAGCAATGTATTTCTTTTTATTTCAAAATAATTACACTATTCACAGATTATATGCTTTTTGTGTGACCTTACACAGTACATTTCTGACTCTCAAATGCTATGATCACATACTTATTACTACCCACATAGTATACCAGATGTTTTCATACTCTTAAAATGACAACAGACTAAATACGAATATGAAAAAAATACATCGGTTTCATTTTAACTATAGGTGATGGTTTTTATTAACCATTATAAGCTGCAAGAAAGTCTTGCAAACAATCTTAAACAGTGTGATTTCAATATAATATCAATAGCATACATATAATTATTTTTGTACTGTGTATATATAGTATTGTGTTGAGTAAATAGGTGTATCGTAGATACACATGCATGCATTGCTAAAAAGGAAAACAAAAATCGCAGCCAATTAGTAAAAGGCAAAATTAATATTTTACATTAAAATATATATTAAAATTGTTTTTAACTACAACTGAAAAGCTGTCCAGAAAAAAAAGTTGTACACAGTTTGACCAACAGCTTTCATTTTAAATTCAGTTTGTTCATTGAAACAGCAAAAAAATAAATAAGAAAGAAAGAAAGAAAAAGTAGGCAATAAAATATTTGGATTTAACTACTGCCACTGACGCTGAATGACACCCACGGAGTTGTGGTGTATTATTAATACTGAAACTAAGCATCATGCTTAATCTGCTTTGACAAGACTCAACATTTAAGAGAAAAATAGATACCGTAAAATTCTAGTGTGGCATGTTTTCTTACAAATGAAAGATCAAATAATGAGAAAAAAAAGCATTCTGCTTCCCTTTTAAAATACAATTATAATTGTATTTGTACAATAATATAGACCTGATATTTATTTATATCTGCCCTGGAAAAAATAAAAAATTAAGTTTTAAAATGCCATGTTATAGCTACATGCTTTTTTTGTTTGTTTGTTATTCAAATCAATATGGTTGTTAAGTAAAACAAGTCATTTATTGCTATTCTAAAAATCATATTAATATAATGGTATATTTGATGGGGTTGATATAATTCGGAGTTGATGCAAAAAAACCAAAACAAAATAATAGGTCTACTTCAAAATGTCTAGGGGATGATTCAGTAAACGGCAATTTGAGAAATATATTAGCTACATTTAGGCCAAAATATTTTAATTAAAAAATAAATATATATATATATATATATATATCCAATATAGGCAGGAGCACTCACTTGTTAAAAGTCCAAAATTTATTAGAACATATTGTAAAAAACGATCAACGTTTCAGTCCTGCATAGAGGACTTTCTTGTTTTTTTGTCTTTGATCCTGATGAAAGTCCTCTATGCAGTACTCAAACGTTGATCGTTTTTTACAATATGTTCTAATAAATTTTGGACTTTTAACAAGTGAGTGATCCTGCCTATTTTGGATGAATAATACTAGCGATGGCATGCTAGCACCCGACCTCTAAGGGATACTTTAAGCGTGAGTGCAGGAATATTTTGGATTTTTATATATATATATATATATATATATATACACACACACTGAGTTTTAGGTTTCATTTTGACAGTTTGATAATTTTGCAACTGAGATATCATAGCACAGTAGTTCAGTAATTATTCACTGTGTAGAGCTCTCTTCTAGATATGGCTTTGTTTTATAGAAGACTTTTAAAAAAAATAATAATTATGTAAATTATAATAAAACAATTATGAATAATCTTTTTTTGATGACATCATTTCAAAGTGTTATTTAAATTCAATTTCAAAGCAAAATGTATTCAGGTTTGTGCTTGGCATTTACAATCACTGAGCATACGGACTAGTGTTAGGCCTACATAAACTTTGTACAAAGTAGAAATGATTAATGATTAAAAAGAAAAAACATTCACCAAGTATGCAAAGAGTCAATTTCAGCTTTCAAGGTTTTTTTTATTCTATAATGACTAAAGCCCGCTTTGATGCAAAATCTCTTACATGCACAATGAGCATTCAGTATTAGGGATTTTTTTCTTTTTTTTGCTCAAATAAACATACCCACAGGTATTTAGTCTATAGATGAACCAGAGGAAAGTGACACATTTAGAAACCTCTCAGTAATAAATTTCTGTTGTTCACTTTCTTCGTCAGTGCGCCAAACTGTATCATTCCTGAAAAGTAATCTGTATTCTATGAATATATTGTACGCTAATAATTGTGGTGTAAATATTGTGTCATTATTTTTACACTAGATATATATATATATTAATGTTGATGTATATATATATATAGCACAATAAGAGATGCACTCTGAGGTCTTCAACTAATAAATTGTTGTTTATACCAGATAGATATTTACATGTAATTTGATTGACGTTTCGACCCGTTCGGGTCTTTCTCAAGAAATATATATATATTAAATACAACATGGAGCCATATAACAACAGCAAATAAAGTACATCAATAGAGTCTGTATGTATATCCAAATGTATCTAAATTAAATATGGCATGTTGCTTAATGGTGGAACTATTTTATTACACCTTCATATGTGGTGATACATTTGGATGCTGTAATCAGTATGTGTTTCCACTATAAGGCAGTGTGCGTTTTTCATGCATATTTAGATATAAGCAGAATTATTTAAATAACCATCTTTAACCCAGTGGGTTACACAGAAACCTGTTCAGCATTAGTGAACAACAATGAGATTTTTCTCTTGCAGTCCTAAACCTGGTGTCTGTGAATATATATCCTTTTGTTTAGTACAGACCTGGGTCCTGTGTTTGTGCTCAGAGTCCTGTGTTTGTGTTCACAGGTAGAAGATGCCATATTGCTGCATCCTATTCAACCTCAACCATTGTGTGGCTTTGTACAAATGTTACCACGGCAGAATGCAGTAGTGACATACATACAGCAGATGCTTTTCTTACATACCAAATGTAATACAGACTTTTTTTTTTTAAATGTAATGAAACATAAAGCTCCATAATCATCAGAAGGCTCTGTCATACTTTTATAAGCACGCTACTATGGATTTTCAAGTCATCACTTGATAAATGGATAAATGTACCTCATTGATGATATCAAGATATCACAGGAAATGTTTATAAGTTATATGTATATGGAAACTAACATGCAGAGGGGAAGCAAAAATGAAGAGGGGAAGTTATAAAAGCTAAATAAAAATGAGACCCGTTTTTGTTAAAGGGGAGCTTTCACTTCCCTGGATTTTAATATTTTACTGTTACCTATATATGTTTTTGTCAATCGTTTTTTATTGACTGAGAATTGCAAAATACAGACAAATCATAGTACAGTGTACGAGTGATAAATATGTAATGTCAAGATGCAAAAAAATTATCTGTATCAATATATAACAGCCAGTATTTTTCTAAATAATGTAGCACTAAAGAATAGAATTAAACTCAGATCATTAAGTCTCTGCATATTCAGTTTAGAAACCAAACAAGCATGCTTAAAGGGGCACTCCACTGCCCAAATACAAACAAATAAAAATCACTGTTAAGTAAATATACCACAATGTAAACAGATATGCATTTAATTATAACTTTTTTAATTGGGTATATTTCCAAAAACTGTTTGCAAAAGTTGCAGATCTTTTTCTCTGAGGCCTGTGCAAGCCCTCCCCCTCTAACCCCGCCCAGACTTTTTGTGGCTGTCCAATCACAGACTTCCCAATGCAGCTCAATGAGAAGTCTTTGCAAGGCATGTGCTCTGAGCATTTGCTGCATCTTATGTATAACTCTTAGTGGAAAAGCCTAAAATCGAGGCATACAATTAAAGAAAAAGGAGAACTATGGCCTAGAGCCCATACTGTACATTCAGAGAGAGCCATGAGTGCCAGCCACAATGCCAAACAGTCTGGTCAATCCAGCAGCCTGCAAGTATCACATTAAATGTTGGAAAGTGATTTAAAATGTATTTTTGAGGTTTGAAAAATAAAATTATATGTAGAAATTCAGACCTTTTCCTCTTGCAATGGAGTGCCACCATCTTCTCATGAAAGAAGGTTAAGATAAGTTATAAGTGATTTTCAATGAATTAGGCAACTGTGAAAAAAAATGTAATTGTAACTTTCCTCCCCCCTGATGCTGTGAGGACACCACAATATGAAGAGTGCCTGAGCAAACATGCGCAACCACAGCATTTTCTAATCAGATGCCTGAGTGCTCCTGAACTTGCACAGATAACCAAGGATCAATTACTTTGCCTTGGACAGCTTAAAACTGCTAATGTAAGAGTGGTTTATACTTACCTCTGATGTACCCCTCTGGCCTTCCCTGAGTGCTGATAAATGTTAAAATTATTACTGGTTAACAAATGGGTTTATTTGTAATTCAGTTTTTCTCACAATCTTATCTGATCTCAAAAAGTGAGGGCAGTCTGTA